CACACACACACACACACACACACACACACACACACACACAAACACATATGAAAAGCAGAGCCTTTACAAGCGTCCGGGAAGCCCCCTGCTAGCACCCCTGTGGTCCCCATCTGGGTCACAGTACCTGCTCAGCCAACTTGCCCAGCCTGTTGGGCTGACGAGAGGGCATGGAGTAGCAGACAAACACAGGCGTACATTTAATACACAAACAGATACATTTACATACAGTTACAGACAAGCATCCGGGCCAGAGAGCATAAGGGTTCAGAAAATAATTTTAAAACAATAACAACAGATAAAGGCCTATTCACACAAAGAGCGATGCGACAAGGCGACACAAATATCACCAAGCGTGATATTAAATTAAAAAAATGTTACATGTCTGAAGAAAAAATGCTAATTTCTGTGTTGTAATGTAAAATACATCCCATTGCTAAAATGTAACAATATATTTAGCTTTTGGTGTGAAGAGATTTGGGGTGCACTATTTTGTTAATATCTTGTCGTGATAAAAAGTCACGGACATTTCACACTTAATGTGAACAGGTCTTTTAAAAGTGCACATTAGGATTTCTACCTAAAAAAAGCATGAATTCATCACTCACCTGAAGACAAATGGCCACATTGACCCTGCAGCCGAAGGTGGTGCTGACGGCCCGTGAGGAGAGCCCCAGGTCTTTGAAGATCTTCGAGAAGGACTGCGTAAGCGTGATGCGAGGACGTTCTTCAGCCACCACCATACAGGTCCGTACACACGACAGATTCACATTCCGTAACTACAGGTGAACAGATAGGGGTTAAACTCAATGGAACAAATCAAATACAAACACAACTTATGCCCTTCACAAATTGAAGTAAAACTACTGTAAGATAAACAGGAGATCCTAGAATATGCTGATACACAGAAATATAGCTTAGTCCAAGATTAAAATTTTTTTCAAAACAAAGCCTGGATATAACATACAACAATACATACCTTTTATTACTAGTAATTGTTGATAATAAGAATCATTAATATTTATTTATTCAGTTTACTAAAAGCTGAATGTTGTAAAATACACTCTGTTTGGGGTCAGTACGATTTTATTCCAGAAAGAAGTCAAAATGCTTACCAAGGCTGCATTTATTTGGTCAAAAATACAGTAAAATCTGTTATATTGTGAAATAATAATAAAATTTTAATTAACTGTTTTCTATATAAATATATTATAAAATGTAATTTATTCCTGTGTTGCAAAGCTGAATTTTCAGCATCATTACTCCAGTCTTCAGCGTCACATGATCCTTCAGAAATCATTCTAATATGCTGATTTGAAACATTTATTATTATTATCATCATTATTATTATTATCATTATCAGTGTTGGAAATAATTGTGATGCTTCATATTTTTTTTTAGAAACCACGTTAAAGTTTTTTCAGGATTCTTTGATTAATAGAAAGTTCAAAAGCATTTAATTGAACCTGAAATGTTTTGTAACATTATAAATGTCTTAACGGTCACTTCTTACATCCTTGCTAAAATAAAAGTATTGTTTTTTTCAAAAAACAAAACAAAACAAAACTTACCGATTTACTCACAACCCCCCACCCAAGAACCCCCCCACCCCCCCCACTAATTTTTTATGTCATATTGTAATATAAATAACATTTAAATGTCATATTGTAATATGACTATATGCAAAATGATGTAGACTAGGATGAAAGATAACTGACCCGCAGAGCTTCAGTCTGGGAGCCCAGGCCTTTGGTACACATCTCCATCACTGAATACGAACAGAACGTCACTCGTACTTTATACTGACTGACAGCAGAAAGCCACAGAGACGGATTGGTCTCCAGCTCCAGAGGGGGAACCAGAATAGACTTATGGCCTGAGTACACACTGCAAACACAAACATGATTTGCATTACTTTGCATCACATAAATCAATATGTCACTAGCCTCCCAAGCCAAATACATCCACACTAAGTATCCAAACTGTGAACTCTCTCTCACCTGCAGAGACACCAGAGGGCAAAGCCCAGGCCACAGTAGGGGTCCAGACAGATGGTGATCTGGCGAGAGGGGTACAGTTCACACTGCAGCTTAATAGAGCGACACAAGGCACTGGTGGCAGCATGGGACATCTGCGAGAAACACAGCGTTAGAAATGTCAATCCCACATTTTAAAACGACTGAGTTATTGGCACTTGAATGATGGGTTAGACAGCACCTTGACCCCAGCAAGGATTCCTGTGGTAGAAACACTGAAGTCCAGGTAGGCGAGCATCTCTGGGGTGGGAGGTTTGTAGATCTGAGGAATTCTCTTTCTTGGGAGATCATCTGAATGGAATGAATAAACTTAATTTATCATTTCTTTTACAAAGGACTGCAATGATACAATAGTAAAAAAGTGTAAATGATGTCTTTACCTGTGTCCAGTACCAATGGCCACGTTTTAATATCTACAGTAGCCGCTGCCTCTTTGGATTTCAGTAGTTTCATTATTGCTTGGGTTGTCAGAATACATACAGACTTACTGACCTGTCAAACACATGCAACAGGATAGAAAAGTTACAGCAGGGAATACAACATAATGTTTAATCAGTCAGACACTGGCTTTAGGCTAAACTATTAATTATTAACATAAATTAGTTAATACACACACACACACACTGTATAATCTACATATCTATTATCTTCACATTTCATGAAAATAATCTTGTTATTTTGATATAAAAAGTTGGACCACTTGGTTAATTTAACTGCAAAAAATGTCTCTAGCATTATTTGTTTGTAATGACACTTTGATAATTATTTTGATATTTGAAATAAAAATGTGATATTTAATAAAATAAAATAAAACATCTTACGCGTAAGTTTCAGTTAGTTAACATTAGTTAATGCATTAGGTATCATGAACTAACAATGAGCAACAATTTTTAAAGCATTTATTAATCTAGGTTAATGTTAACTTATAAACACACAGCAAAAATGATTTTCTTATTTAATATTTTTGTTTTGTTTCCCAGTACAAATATATATATATATATATATATATATTTTATAAAAAAAACTTTGTTAGTTCATGA